ATAGATTGTCAACTAACGTTTCTAAACCATTTAACAAAAGCGGTCGTTTGTCCGGGGAGTGGGTACGGAACTTTGTATTTCAAAGGATACCGTTATGGGGCGTCGATCAAACTGGCGCTGAAGAATGATTGAAGTCCGCTCGTAACACCTTCGTTACTGACGCTCGGTCGGTTTCTTTATTAATTACTGAATCCTTTACACCCTAATGAATATTCAACACGGTGCGAGAACTAATCCAACCCGACCTTAATACGGCGGAGGTCGGACTAGTTTTTAGTTCGTTTTACGAGCGTGTAACGCTATATCATTACATGTCGATAAACGATAAGTGCAACGTAGTAGAGCTTTCGCTGTTGTCGGCTCAATAAAATAAATGGCCGATATCGACCTACATTACAACCCCGTGTTCCCAAGCCTGTCATTATTTTATGACTTTTTTATTTGGCCTGATGGCCACAGAAATGCAACACCATTCCCGATTTCCACACCGATACTGAAGTGGGATGTCCTATTAAATGTGGAAATGAATCGTTGTAGACCAATCACACTTCGATAAAGTCGATCAATACACCAGCTTAATAACTATGTCAACTTGTTTTGAAGATTAACCAAATATTTTTAATGCTACACAACTATTACACATTCCTAAACAAAGTAATAAAATAAATCCTGGCATTCAGACTATAAAAGGACAAAAACTGAAATTCGATACTTCAACGGCTAACTTTGTAATAATCATGTCTTATTATGGCGTGCTGTCATAACAGTCAGAATGTAAAACAAAACCAGACGTATGTACAATATATTTCGACGGGAACATTTTTAGTTCTGAGATTTTTCTGACTGGAGTACCTTTAAAGGTTTTTCAACATTATTTTTTTAAAGTTCATAGGACCACACATTACACATTAAACCAGAGACGAATAGATATTGACACCGATTTCGTTTCGTGGCTATTACAAGCGCATAGCAATTACCCACTAAATCGATTAGATGTGAGATATCGGTCAATAACATTAAATCGGATAATGCATTACCGATTGACACCTTCCTAGTAAAGTCGAAGATAATAGTTTCTTTCTAATTGTTTGAAGAGATAACATTTCAGGTGTGGGAGGTCGGTCTGGTCGACATTACAGAACATTATCAAACGCAGGCAAATATATATATAAAAGAGAAGACATGTTTATTTTTCTTGGGCTTTACTCATACGTCTGGTCAAAACAAAATTACCACGACTGCAATAAGAAATGGTTGTCGCTTAAACTTTATATGTTCTTGTGTGGATAATGAAAACATGAGCGTACATCAAAGTCACGGACCAATTGTGTTCGCCAGCCCTAGAGGTGATATCGTAAAAATACATTGCGAAAGAAAATATTGTTATGGTTAAGACGATGAAATATTTGACTGATTGATACAATGTGTTACGTCTGGCATCTGTTCAATACATCGCTCTTACTGATGAAAGTCTAAACACGACACGATATCAAAAGAAATACTGATCACAGCAGTATCAACAGCACGACCAATATTAAACATCTTTCAACACTCTAATAAACTCTCGCTCAAATGTCGAGTCAAGCACCGAGCTGTACGTAGGTACAACCAAATAAATGACAAGTCGAAAAGGTGCCATCTGCCACCTGAATGAATAGCGAACGCCCTTGTAACTGTCACCATTCATCATAATTATAATGAAAACGAAAAAAATGTGACTAAACGTTCTTCAAAGGCGGTAGAATATAAGAATATAAAAATTGATTCCTATGATAGAAATACCTTGAATGAAAATTGTTCGCAGTTGCAAAACTAATTCGCAAAACAAAACTCAGAATAGGCGTTCGAATAACAAAACACAAAAAGAATTCAGCTTAACGATGGGAAATTAAAGTTCGATAGTGAATCATAATAAAGTAACAGTTGTGGATGATATCAAATTACACCTACCGATTGCCATTAACGTAATACCCTTTATAACTCAAAGAGAACAAAACTATCTAAATTTATAGCCAGATACCGTTGAATAAAGAAACGGAATCAAAGCGCCACGGATACCGTATAAAGGGATATATTTCGAAAAAAAAATCAAAAGATGTATAGATAAAAGAATCAAGTATTCATAGAGAGGCGTGCGAGGCACCCGCTGCTTTATCAAATACGGGATTAGTCCTTTCGATGTTGGGACACGTTTCTTTTGTAGCAAACAAATATTATGACACGGCGTTCGGCAAATAAAGCCGAAATATTTGTGTGACGGAAGTAAATTTTATTTCGGCAACTTGAAAAAACATCTCCGTGTTCAAGTCTGACTAGGTAATGTTTTAGTATTTCTATGAAATCACTTAAACCTGCAGTAACTAGATAATACCCGGAACTGGATATGTCAAGTTCTAATTGTACAGCATAGTAATGTATGGTTAGAGGTATGTATCAGAGAAACTCTCAGTTGTATGTCACAAAAGCCACCATTCACAAAACTTCTCACACACGATTTTACTCAGAAATACATTTTGTTATAGTTGCTATATCTTTAGCAATCATTGCGAAAAATGATGATAAAATACTATTCTTTTATTACGATGGATGCTAATTATCCCGTCTTTCTGGGCTATTATATATGTACTTGAATATATAGGTTTTCCAAAAAAAGCCTAGCTTCCTTTTTATATTGGAGTACTTAGTAAGGGGTTGGTATACGTGTTATACCAGTGCCCGGCTTTAGCCTCACAGTTGCCCTAAACTAGAGACTCACTTGTAAAGGTTAGGCATTGTACTATATGTTTACGAGCGCGGTGTTCTTAAGAAAATTAAATAAACTTTCAAATTCATGTATTAGTCTTTTAAATTCGTACACGCTTTCAACCCATGTACCTTTCAAAGAGGTCAGGTGTGTGAATTAGAACACGAAAGTAAACTTTTGACAGAAACTGGACGACATCTATGCAAGTAGAAACTGGTGCAAACAAACTTAAAAATGTTTCAACATAATTCCCATAATTTCTTTTTAGAAACATTGCTCAAGCGCCTCGATTAAGGCACCGTAGTAGGTACTTGTATTACCGAGAATGTTTTGTTGACTGAAACAATAATGTGGCGAGTTAAACCTACAGTTTCAACAAATATGGAGGCTGATACGGCGTAGTATTAATATTTTGTGTCAAGTGGCGAAACCTGGAGGACTTCCTACAGATTAAGCTAAAGAGAAGAAAGTGCCGTTCAATTGACTTTCATGTTTCGTCCTCTATTTGTACTAAGAACACTTGTCCATTAATAGTTTTCGATTTAAATAGCAGTGACATGTATAGCAACCATCACTTTTATGTAGCTTACTAATCGCATACACCATTCCTATATACTTACACAGATACATGTACGGAGAATCATTTAACATGAATTGCTGCCTAACTATTTTCTTAAAGTATTAAGATAAGCTTTACAGTCAGTATTTCATGTCACAATATGAAACAGCCCCAAAATATTTAAAAACGAATAGACACATAGTATCCGTAGTAGTCTATTCAAAAAATAATCTGTGTTTACTAGGTACTTGACCCACTGAAACATTTACGCGCGCAAATAAATCGATCTCCCGCACCGATCGATTATCGTGCGGTCTCGAGAGGGAACGTAAACACTCTTCTGATATCGCCGCGATGCAAGCGCTATGCAGAACAAATTAACACAGATCGCCGAGTCTGTTTGCCATCTAACTGTGGTACGGTCGAGTGAACGCCCAGGCAGACGGACAGTTATACAAACACGCATTGTGCGTCGCGCTTATGAACCAATAATGCATTTCATTGTCGGCTTACCTCTGCTAATGCAGGTGCAAATGCTACCACTATTTAAAGTATAGTTTTATGTAAAGGACTATTGTTTTCTTGTTTTCTCTCTTGAAAGTATCTACATAGTTAAAAATGTACTGAAAAATGTACTAATGAGAACTGTATTCATGCATGGCTTTTTACAGCAGCTCCGAGTTCTCAGACTAAAACTTATGGTTTACTATAGTCATTCAAAGATAATCATCAAAACGTAACTAATATTTTACAATCACCCACCGCCGCAAATTATAAAAGCATCATATATAAATGTATCGCAACGCCATCTAGAACCGATTGCTTGAAGTTTTTTAACAGATGACAAAAGTGAATAATAGATGGCACTGTTACAAATTAAAATAACAACATATCTTACTTGGTGACCAGTCACACCAAAAAAAAAAACAATAGGTTTTAATAATATTTTAAAATAAAACACGAATATAGGTACTTAATTTAAAAAAATAGAGTTAAAGACAAGTAAAATAAGTTGAATAATTATAAAACCCAATCCTTGGACGATACTGGTATTTGTCCCTAAATCTTATGAAAACTGCATGTCAGTATTAATTTATGCTCCTTCTTGTAGTTAATAGTCAAAACAATTTTTAAATAACATTATTCCAATTTATTTAGTTGTTGCAGCAGGACAGTTATGTTGAAATTTCCAATATAAAAGTTTTATAACAACTATGGTCACTCGGTTAACTTAATTAAAGAAATATAAGCAATTTTGTCATATTGTTTTGTCTAAAAAATGTATGTCAAAATGTTTACAAACATACTTACCTTATCATAATCAATGTTAGCTTTTAAACTAAATTATAATAGAAAGTAAAAAGTCTCAAATTGTTTATCTTTAATTAACCATCTACACCGACAGACTTTTGATTTACCTATTTCCCTACCTAGTAAAGTCTTTGTGAACTATAGGTTCCCCACAAATAAATAAATGATACATTAGGTGTTTAATTTATCTGGTACTAGCCACTACCACCAGCGGCTACGCCCGCAATCCAGATTATGGGCATGCCAAATTTCAACCAAGTCGATCCAGCCGTACATTCTCACAAACTGCCACATTTATAATATTAGTAAGATTCAAATGCTCTTTTACCATCTCCTAGCTAGGGCATTGTATTTTCATTCGTATAAAATAGCAAATGTTGTACGTACTTTTCTTAGTGGTACCTTGAAGCATATTAATCTGGTCCCTTCTATAACCTTTCCACAGGCTTTATATGGGATCCATCTGCAATAAAAATAAACCACACAGTCAACACAACAATGTCAATGTTGTCAACACACTTTAGTCTATTTTGCGATTAAAAATAACAATGACCTGTCAGGTATAGCAGGCATCTTTGCTTAGATTTTTATGGTTATTATCAGTAGTCAATGCAGAAAATAATTTAGAATAGCAAACAAATTTTAATCATTTTGTCATATTAAACATTGTAATGACAAAACATAACCTCTAGGAAAGTATTTTGACGTCCACTCATTTGACAATTTCAACATGCCAGATGCCAAAAGCATGGAGGAAATTGTAGTCTTTGGCCATTCGTCCAGAAATTATGCATATTATGTAATCAATAAAATTGTTTTGAATTTTTATTAATTCTGGGTATGAAGTTTCAATAAAACAATAATAATTACTTCTTGTTGCTTTTATAGCGATGTTTTAATACTTTGGGTATCCTGAGACCTAATTCCTCTGATGTGGGTACTAAGGTCATAGACCATAGATTTAATTTCTCCTCCATGACGTCTCGTCTACCTTGAAGGTAAGGTAGACCAAAAAAGATAAATTGTTTATGGTTTTATTATTGTTTACCTCTTTTACGTGATGAAAGAATTTTATAATCATTAACTTTTTAAATATTGATGTACTAAATAACACTAACTAATCTGGAGGCTATAAGCCTTATTCAAGAATTTAAAAATAAACAAGTTGTTTTATTTCCTTAACTTTTCACAGCATGGCTTTAAGTAGGTTATATACTACGAAGTTTGATCGCAGAAAAACTAAGCAATAAGTTTAATTCGTTGCTATAGAAACATTATGAAAAGAAGTAATTGTTTGATCGAAGTTTATGAAGGTTTTGATAGCTTCTCGAAACGTATTAAAACTAGCTTTGTCGAAGGTAACAATTTAAAGATGTTCAGAAACACCATTTGGTATCGTTCCCTCCTAGATGCGGAGAAGTCGTGTCTCAAGGAGGATAAGTTAAAAAAGATTCATTACAAGTTTCAAGATGATAAGGAGATGGTGGAAGAGTATAATGTAGATACGCAGGTGTTATTACGTCGTGCTTGGAAAGTAAAAGGTAAACTTGGAGGGGAAGGAAAATGGGATGTGGAAATTGGAGATCCAATTCCTGATGCTACTCCTCACATTGAGGGAACTGGTGCTGATATCATGGAGAGTAAGGACCAGGTATAATCATCCTATTTGATAGATCAAGATAGGTATTTGTATACTGTATAATGTAAACACACATGCTAGTTATTTACTTACTATTTATTCCAGCCAATATTAACGAGACGTAACACAAGAATAAATTTGGAATGGAGAATCAGAAACCTGCCATATCCAATTGAAACATACTCTGTTAGTGCCAATAATGATGAAAGATGCATTGTTATCCGAACAACTAATAAAAAGTACTACAAACGACTTCAAGTGCCTGAACTAGATAGACTGAACTTACCTATAGAACAAGCAAATATACAATGCAGTCATTCATTCAATACATTGATTATTGCTGTAAGTTAATTCTGTTTATTTCCTTTTTGTTGGCAAATTCTCCTCTCTCATCTCAATTGCTCATCAATATGTAGTAACTCAGTGCAAATGTCTCCCCATAATTCTTCCATTCCTCTCTTGTAAACCTTTCTGCTACAAATCCTTGTCATAAGAGCCAAGTTCTGATGCCTTGTGTACAGCAGCAATGTCTTTTGATGTTGAGTGGGCTCCAGTCAGTTGTGATAGTTTATAAAAATCTGTGTACCATGATGATCAACTGGAAAAAGATTTATGCTCACCAATTTTTAATATTACATCTCTTTGGCTTGCAGTATAAAAAGCCTCATCAGTTATTGGACATGGATAAAGAGTGGTACCAAGAGCTAAGCAAAGTGAAGCCTATCAAAGATATCCCTAATGATTGCAAAACACAATAAAAGATGACATAGAAATAATTTTGTTTTATTTTTAACAATTCCCAATTACCCCTGGTTTGCCTATGCTGATCTAAGAGAGTTATTTTATCTAGTCTTCTCATACACTAATGAGTAGTCTGCAAAGATGCTCTCACTGAGGACTATGGGGGACTAAGACAGACTTTGTTATATGGCATTTATGGACCAACAAATTTTAATGTGCAGATGGATCACATGATGGTAAGCAATTGGGACCACCCATGGATGTCAGCAATACCAGAGTTTACAAATGCATAGCCAGTCTCTATGAGCTTAAAGATAATTAATAGTAGCCTAACAAAGGGAAACAATACTGGTTTTCAGTGAGGCTATTGTATTACTCTTTTAGTGCTGAATTACAGCTCTCCGACACATGTATCAGATGACTAAATGTTATGTATACACAACACATGCATAATAAAAGATCAAACAAAAATTTTCCTTAAAAATAACTTTATTTACATTGAAAAAAAACAAGATCAAGTACTTAATAGTAGCTTATCACACTAGTCATCTACAACTAAAGCTTTTGCTATTTTCTTCAATTCTTCATCATCATCATCCTTATCTAGTAAACCTTTAGAAGCTAAATATTCACCATACTGCTTTGGAATGCCCATAAATGTCTTGATTTTTGCCCTCAACTGTTTCCAAGTTTCTTGGTAATAGTTTTTCTTGTCTCTTTCCATAGCTTTGTAATCATGACCATATTTATCTAATAAATATGTTATAAACTCAACTTGACCTTTGGGCAACCTGAAATAATGTTACAAATTGTTGTGAAACTTGGATATTTTATTTATTTAATTAAACATTAATGTACACAAAACAAGTGATGGTACATAAGGCGGACATTTATGCCATATGGCATTCTCTCCCAGTCAACCTTAGGGTTAAATAGAAAATCAACGAAAATATAGGCATGTGTAATTATTATAAGGAATAAATAACATACAAAGACTACAAATATAGATACTCAAAATATTTAGTATGTAACTACATAAATAATTTCTGCAATAATACATATACAATATACATACTATTATATAATAGATAAAGACCGAGACTCAGCGTTGTAGTGACTTTAAGTAGAATTCATAAACATAGATATTCATTATTAAGCTACATCAAGTCATCTGAATTAATGATAGGGATTAACAGAGCATTATTTTGAAATTGTGCGCAGATTGAAAATCAATGTTTAAAAGTGTAAAAACTTACATAAATCTTCTTGGTCGTGGAGCTCTAGCTTCTTTCTCTAATATTTCAACAACCTCTTTTTTCACTACTGGTTGTACTACTTCTTCCTCACTATCGTCATCGGATTCTTCTTGATTAATTATCTTCTTAGCCATTTTCACTTTCTCCTGTTTGAAATTAGGTATTTTTATGACTTTATTGGGATCACTAGCAAGTCCCATTTCTTTCATATTACGCAAAGACGATTTCTTAAAATCCCATGCATCCTTTATTGGTTTACTGTAATCAAATTTTGATTATTATAATACAATATAATATAGGAAAAGGAATGGTCAGTATCTTTAGGGATGAAAAACAATGTGACACGAATTCTAACCAATTCACTTCGCCGGTGCTACGTTGCTTAAGATGCATTCGTTTCCGATTCAGTTTATGTAGATACTTCTTTTTACGGTGCTGCTTCTTGATCTTCATTTTGAATTATGTCTTACTTTAAATGTGTAAATAAATTTTGCCAAACGCCACAACACCACGTTCCACGTGAGAATTTAGAGAATTTGTTTTGCAAAATTGACACTTGACAGCTATAAAAAATGTCAGACTATTGTGCATACACACTGTTTTGACTATCGGGCTTTTAAAACTTTTCGTTTCATAATAAAAATCATTTCTTTACAGTAAATATAGTATCATTCACATAACAAAACATTTACTGGAAATAAATTTAATTAAATATTATTTATTTCAGTCAATTTCTTAAATCGGTTTAAACAAGTATTAAATGCATTTTTATTAATATAAGCTTTTTATCTCTCTTCTATAAATGGATACCGCCTAACACAGCAGTCACAATTCTCACACAGCCCAGAGCTACTCTTGTGTAGAATGAAGCTAGGGCAAGTTCAGCATGACTAGAGATGGGCACTGGGAAAAAACCCAAAGGGAAAAAACCTGGGTTTTTAATTGGGAAAAAACCCAATCGACGGGTATTTTCATAATTTAAAGTAATTATCATGATTTTATTTGATTTTTAGTTTTAGAACTAAATAAATAGGTACTTTGTGATGCGTACACTCTTTGCACCTGCGTATAAGCTGTCGTCTGTTGTTTAAAACGTCGAAATGTGTAGCCTGATTCAGGAACTAAAATAAAACCAACATAATATGCTGATTTATTTAAAGGTTTGAGCTAAACATTATATATTACAACATCAAAAAGACGTCTTCTAGTTTTATTATAGAATAGCTTCCGCCAGCGGCTGTTTGTTATTAATCGTTTTATGGGAACATCTCCAATGGGTAAATACCCATTGGATTAATATAATTTTAGACTTAATACAATTTTAGATAATTTTATGTAGAATATTTCCGTCATACATAATTGCTATGTAACTTTAACCATTAAGGCTACACACGCGACGGAAACTTAAAAAAGGGAGTAACTTCTCCCGTTTTCCCAACATTTTCCTTCATTGCTCTGCTCCTTTTATTTGTAGCGTGATGAAAAATATCCTATATAAGTAAATAGTAAGTAAAGTATCCTATGCCCAGGAGTATAAAGAATAATTGTATCAAGTTTTGTTAAAATCCGTCGAGTAGTTTTTGTTTCTATAGAGAGCATACAGACAGACAGACAAAAATTTTACTGATTGCATTTTTGACATCAGTATCGATCACTTATCACCCCTGGTAGTTATTTTGAAAATATATTTAATGTACAGAATTTACCTCTCTACAGATTTATTATCAGTATAGATAGATACTGAAAAATGCTATTTCTTGCGTATTTCCACGAGATGTTGAAGGTGGTTCTTCATTTATTAGGCTACTCAATGTACTCGACAATTGCCTGGGTATAGATAACGGCTCATCAACGTCGCCATTGTCATCATCTTTATGTTTATGTAATAGGTTCTAATTATACGAGATTATTTTTGCTGCCCTGTCTGTAGTCAATCTATTTCTTTTGTGACAATGTATATGAGCATGCGTGCTAAAAGATCGTTCAGTGGCTGCTGAAGTACAGGGAGCAGTTAGAATACTCTACCGAACTACCGGGTCCATTTCAGCAACATTGTTCCATATAAATGATCTGCTCCATAAACCCTGTTTAGCTCTATAATTGACTAAATCAAAGCCAACGTCAATATTAAGCGATTGGCTTACATCGTGAATAAACTCCATGGCATCCACTTCGTCTTCTTCTTGTAATTCAATGCCTTGCGATTTTGGATCTAATAAATATGCAGCATAATGAATCTGTTTCAAACAATTGTTTGTTCGCCTTATTACAGCATTTGTAATCTCTTGTTTATGATCTTCATTTAGAATGGATATTTCGGGAAGAGCAAAATTAAATGTGGATCTAATATCTTTGAAGGCCATATAACAACAACAAAACAAAATCCAAGTCGTCAATTAAACCAACAAATTAACACGTGTGCGCACAGTACGAAGCTACAACAACGTGTGAAATAAATAGATCACCAGCGCGCACGCCTGCCACGCCACTTTACTACCTGATCCCCCCCCCCCCAACCCGCTAACATAATTTCGGGTTACTTGTCGCTAAGGGCGGAGGAACACACAAACAGACAAGTTTTTTGTTTAATTTTTAGTTCATTTAGTTAGACAGTATGGATATAAAAAACATTATTATTGCAAAATTAAAATATACAAAGTTAGATTAGCTCTAACTTGTAGTAATAGTACTTAAATAGTACGTACTATATGATATATACATGATCTACACAATACCTAGTTGTTACATATGCTAAATATGAAAAAACCCGAATATTATCCCATTCGGGAATTTTCCCCGGGTTTTTTCCCTATATTTTTCCATATTTGGGTTTTTTCTGGGTAAAATCCCATCTCTAAGCATGACCCTAAATGCATTAGTATAAAAAGTATATCATCCCGGAAAAATTGTCACAAAAAATAGAATAAGAATTTTATTTTCAACTTTTACAGGTAACTTAACCTAATTCGACATAGCAACATAAAATATGTTTCCTAAACTATTTACATTTATCTATGGGGAACCTGAAAAGTCAACATTGGCTTAAAACACTCGTATTCAAGCCATAAACTCCAAAAAAAGTCAACAAAATAAAATAAATGTCAATCTCATAATCTTTAAAGGTTATGTTGTGGTTATGGTTGACAGATCGTGTGTTCGTTTGGTAACCTTAAAAAATAATTATGCCTCAAACAGGAGCAACCCGACGCCAGAAATTTCTCAAATCTGAGAAGTCAAAAACAAAATTAAAAGGTAAAAACAAGGAACTCCCAAAAGGTACAAATGTGACTAAGACAAACTTTAAAGTAAAGAAAATTGTGCTAAGAGAACAGCTGAAAAAGCATGGTGAATCAGAAGCACTGTCCACAAGAAAACTAAATATAAAGGAGCTGTTGTCACGTCTCAACCATTTTAATACTCACTCTCGGACTGAAGCGCTAAATGGAATAAAAGAACTCATCGAATTTCATCCTGAAGTCTTAGAGACCAGTCTAGGGGAGCTCGTTCATGGAGTAACACCATTAGTATTGAACATTGAAAAAGTTGTAAGTTATATCTTCATTTATAAAAATATGTATTCCAAGAAAGTTTTCTTTACTACTAAGAATTCAAAGCAGTTGGGATCTATTTAGGCAAAGTTGTCTTACATGTTAATTTGTTTATTTAAGTATGTCTATCTATGTTTTATTGTTTTCAGGTGCGCCATGAGTCTTTGAAGACATTACATGTAATACTGTCAAAAGCAAATATTGAAAGGATTGATCCCTTTTTTGACATTATGTGCACATATTTAAGAAGTGCTATGACTCACATAGATGGCCGAATACAAGAAGATTCTTTACTTTTCCTGGATACACTTCTATTGTGCACACCAGCCAAAGTTGCTCAGGATTTCCATAAAATAATTCCAAACTTTCTGGACATGATTTCTAAATTAAGGGTTGATTCAAAGCCAGGAAGAACACTGACTGTTAACTTGGGAAGTCAAATAACTAGTGTGAAATGGAGAGTCAAAGTTCTTCACCGCCTCAAGGACTACCTGCATGAATTTGTAAAATACAACAATATTCAAGACTACAATGGGCCAGTTGTTGACATAACTAAGATATTTGACACCACTAAAATGAATCACTATTCTTTATTCAATTCAAGTTATATACAAAAATGCTCACTGTCTTGCTTTTCTTCTAAAAACTTGCAAGAAACAGTGCCATTAGACGAAGTGGAAAAGTTCAGAGAATACACTGACACTTTAATGCCTTTATTATTTGAAACATGGCTAGAAGTATGTCCTAATATCAGCTCAGAGAAGAACATTGAAACTGTAGTCAGTGAAGATGCAGCTGCCTTGCTCAATCACACCCTTGATGTAATATCATTGATCTGGTCACTTGTAAAGCATTTCAACACTAAGAGCCCAAGCTCAAACATACAGCATACATTTTCACAAAAATACAGGCAGCAATATTTACAACACTTTGTCAATGCTTTTCCTTATGTAACAAATATAAGGATCAAACAGAGGTCTGTAACTAGTTCAGAATTTGAAAACACTATCATTGATCCCAAATTAGTTGCTCAGAATTTGTTAATATGTCAACTGTTTATTTTATTGAATCCTAACATAAATGTGAAAAACCAAAACAAAGATGTTTTGTCCATATTGAAGTATATTGAGAAGACTTTTCATAAGAACACTCAAGCTGAAATAAATGACATAATCATTAAGATTTTACATACAATATTTTCAAATGAAGTAAATAATTGGACCAGAACCGTTTCAGTGATGAATGATCTGTTCCAAAAGATTGTTTGGGCTTATTTTAATAAGGAATTATCTAGCTCATTTCGGCAAAAGATATTTAGCCTTTTATGTAAGATTGCTCTTAATGACAAGCTAGGCCATTTCCATGATTGTGATGCATACAACACATGGTTAAAAAATCTACCAGATATTTTGCTAGAGAAGACAGTAGCAGTACAGACGGTAGACATTATTCACAAGTTTGCTGTTCGAAATAACCAAACATTCAATATGGTTATTAGGCCTAAGTTATTAGAAATAGTACAAAATCTGCCAAGCATTATAATAACTGATGTAGACAGTAATCAAAGTAGCTATTACAAATTATTTTCATTGTTATATTATGTTAAAAAATGGGATGATGAAACTCTTAATTTACTTAGAGATCAAATTATAAATAGTGTATACAAAAGTGATTACAATAACTACATATTTGAAACACTAAAATTAAAATCTGGAGAAATCTAACAAAGTGTACTAAAGTAATGAAACTAAAACATCGTAATTATGATAGTCATTTATTTCAATAAACTCAAACACAAAGTAATGCAAAATGTGACAATCAACTAGTAAATAAATATACACTTTTATGTAACTTTGAGGTAACAAAATAATAGGGTAACATCAAATTAATAAAAATGCACTAACATTCCATTGTAAAGGATACAAAATGCTAGCTGCACAACCAACTAATTTGGAAGTATTGACATATATGGAATTACAAATACTTCAATCAACTAATAATTACTTCATAATGATTGTTTTTGTAGTTACAAATGAGTAACTAATAATACAAGGAACTTTGATAAAATTCTGAGGAAAGAGGACATACATTTTGTGTGATTTGTAAAAATAAATATTTATTCAATATTCCACATTATTTGAAGTTTGTGCTATACCTTTATCTTATCTATAAAACCTGGTGTAAATGAGCTCAAATTTGGTATCACAAAACCAGGCCTCCTTTATAAAATTTATAATAAGCAAATGCTTTTATATTCGAAGCCAACTCCATTTAATATTTGTGATTTTATAATTTCTGCCTTACCACATTTCACTTGATATTCTCATACAATTCCGATATGAAGCCTCATTGAAGCTGTTTATCTATTAAATTCATTATTAACGACTAGTTTTATTTTCTATAAACTAATTCTATAATAAATATGACTAATACAAAATAACTTCTGCTAGTTGTTGAGTCGTTTAGTGTCAATTTGGCAATTTTTGGCTAAAATTATAAATTACCGATAATTATAATGCGAACTTGGTATAGTGTTGGGTAACAATGCTTAGTAATAATGGATAACAGTAAATATATAGGACTGATATGTCCTATTGTAACGGCCTCTTGATGGTCACTTTAATAGTAAGTACCTATTATAATGAGTGACTAACTTCACTTTACGATTTTACATTTCTTTATAAGATTCCCAATGCATAGCCATACAAAACATATACAAATACTGGCGTAATAAAAGGAGGATTATTGAGAATTAGTATCTCATAAATAGTATCATAAAAAACAATCACGCATTTAATGCCCAATATAATAAATAAGACGGTTAACCATCGTTGAGTTTTACATATTTTAATAATTTAATCGCGACTCGGTTGAGATCAGTTCGAATTCAATGAAAATAACTTTAAATCAGTTGAACGTAACCAAAACTGGAAGCCACTTTACGTACTAAAAACATATTCGATATTATTATTAGCTTGAAAGCAGCTAATGACAGTCGAGAAATATCAATTATACTAACCGTTGGCTAGGAAAGCCATAGCCACGCAATAGTTTCACACAATATTAAACTACGCTGTTATTCACGGTAGGTAAACAATATAAAGAAGTAGTCAATTTCGGGTTTAATGAAGAAGAGAATCATTCATAGGGTTGCTTTTTACCGCATTTTTTAATATATTACTAATCAATAAATACCGGTTCATGAAATTAACATCTAAGTGAGATTCGCATGCAGTCCTACCTTTGGCCAATGTGGTGAAGGTAAATAGTATACATTGATCAGTGTCACTGCTTCTAAAAGCGCGCAAGATTGGAAAAACATTATGCTCCCTAATAGCTGCACATTTTTGTTTAACTAGTTTTAATTTATGCCAATAAAAATAGTATAGTTTTCCAGAATATAGAGAGCATAAATCGTTCTTACGAAGCTCGGCTAGAAGGATAACGTAATAATTATTGGGATACAATCTACTGTGTTTTCCTTTTATTAGATTTTTTTGCGCGAGGAATGGTAGCAGAGGCCGTCAGCATTGCCTGAAAATAAAAGGAGTATATTGAAAACTAACTCAAAAAAGCACAAGCACTACTCATCCGTAGTAGAAGATGGTGACAATTTCTTTATAATCAGTCAAGAAAATATATTACAATTTACTAAAAGTGCAACCACATTACACATAAATTATCAATTGGCTTAGTTTGTCAGTGATATCTAAAACATGATTAGGAAACATTGATTAAAATAAATATAAAAACATAAATTACATAGAACACTACACACATTGAAATGCTAAGCACTATAGGTAAAAATACATCTTATAATTAATTTGGTGTAGTATTGTTATGAAAGGCGATCAAACTAAAACCATGCATGTATAGAACACTCACAAAACGAAACTAAAATAAACATACTGTTTTGTGTAACTTCAGCTGCAAATAAAAGCGGGCTTGGGAATTTAGGATAGCCCTACACATCTGTACTTTTCGACGAAGATGGCGTTTCTTCGTGTAGTGATATAAATTTATATTCTGGATGGCCAGCTATTTTAGCTTCAATGAGTTTCTGCAAAGCGTCGCTCTTATCTATAATATTTTGGGAAATGACTTCTTCATCGAAACCAGATGCATCTTTGAAACTAATTTGATCATCTGATTTATCAATCTGCGGAGCATCATTAGGTAATACTTCATCAGCACCTACAGAGTTCAATTCAGTACAACTCTGGAAATCGTCAACACCTCTTTCAATGGTTGAAGACCTTCGACTGTGATCATCGGATGAGTTTGATCTTTCGTCTATTTTTTGTTTTTCTTCACTTTTATGCCAAAAAGCAAACTTTCCTGGCAACTGTAATAGTTTTCCTAATCCTGAGCTGTTGCCTTTAGCGATTCGAGCAGGCGATTTCGATTTATGTCTTTGTTTGTTTTCAGCTATGGGATTAAAGATTTGGAGATTTTTTGGTGATCCAGATTCTTTTATGGTTGTATTTGGTAGTTTATTTACAATGTCATTTAAACTTTCTTGGGATGTCACACTTTTTATTACTGTATCTATGTCCGATTTACTGAAAGTTTCTTTATTATCGTCTTGCGGTTCATCCTCCGCATCAACTTTGGGTGGTGGCGGCGGCGCCTTGCTCTTGCCGTATTTCCCTTTCTGAATTTTTCTTTTACTCTTAGGAGAGTCTTCTGGTGTCCCAAAAGACGCTTCGTCGTCGCTATCGGAAGAGTCGTTGTCGTTTATAGAGGTATCAAGGCTTGTAGCATCGGTATGTTCTTCTAAAATGGCAGTTACCGCTTCTTTCATTTCTCTATCTACGGAATTTTTATCGTTATTATCCAGAGCAGTCTCAAATACTACATCTTCATTATTTGAACTAGATTTGTCATCATTATTGTCTTTTAGTTGACTTACAACAGGAATGTCGGATACAACATCACTTTCTTTACTTGTAATAACTTGTTTGGAACTTTTATTGTCCGCATTATCTTTATTTACTGAACTAATTACAGAAGCTTCTTCTGAAATTACTTCATTTTGGTCCCGGTGATCTGTATTGTTATTAGTTTGATTATTATCATTTGCAGCAAAAGGGTAATTACCTAATACTTGGAGGATCTTTACTTGATCGCCAACATATTGGTATATAAAGGGAGGTTGCGTGTGGGACAAATAGAGAGGAGACGGGAGATTAATAAGAGCGGGCATATTCGAATATTCAAAACTATCGTCGTCCTGTAGCTCCTCGATGATTACTTCACTTTCCTTTAAATAAAAAGTTCTTAAGTCTATATCAAAATAAAGAAAAACTCAAACAATATATAAGCTAATAAATGCAATAAACAGACTTATTGACATGACACAGTGGCGCTAATGATAAACTGGTGTAACCATAGATATAAACACTTACTCATGCAATAAGAAAACTATCTTCTATAAAAATCACCGTAAAGTTATTTCTAAAATAAAAGAATCCGAAATGATTAGAGTGTGAAGGATAATACTTTTTAATAAGCCAATCAGTTTAACTAGAACTATCAATAATACTTTTCGATATATTTTTTCTTATACAAACAATTATAAATATATTTCGAAGCAAATAGCGATTACGGTAGGTAGGTATGTAATTCTACATTTGAGCCTTTACACATACCTAGCCGCCAAAAAGACATTCTTTTAAAGATATATTTGTTCAGTCAAATAGCCAATATTTAATTGATTTTCACACATTGCTTAGTAACTTTCTGGCTACAACCAAGATCCAGCACCAATCATACCCTGGCACACCAAATTATTTAAACACTTATAAAGGGGAGTTATTTACAACAAACGGCGCATAAGAATAAAAGCGAGACAATATTAATACTGGTTTAAGCCAATAGAACTACTAGGTATAATTAAAAAAAATACTTTATTTTTTTTAAGAAACAAAAAATATCCTCCTTACTGATAATTGGAGGCGATTTTTTGGAAATAACTAAAATGTTTTCTCGCATTTCTAGTACTACTTTAACTTATGGCCCAAAAACTTGAGTTTATTTTGTAACACCTAGTACAAATGATATACACAAAAGCATATTTATGCCCACATAGGCACAAAGGTATATTTATTACAATTTTATGTAAGTGAAAGCAAGTCAACACGAAACTCCCCTATATAAATGCATATCCCCGTACAACATTTGATAGTACAATACTCCAATAAAATATTTAAATAAAATTCATGTATGGAACGTGTTATAAATGCCTTATTATTCTCATAATTGTTTCATCCACATAGTGAAAAACTTTTCTTGTATCATCTGAATGAAACTACTATGACAGTTCAATGATTTAAAATCAGTAATGCCAAAAGTCCTTGTTCAAAACATGTCACTTGATTTTTAATCTGTGAAAGTTGCCAGTAAGAAATATCAGGTACTTATTTTTTGTGCGTTTACGTTTGCATTGAACACATTTTGCATTATAGTATGTTGTAATTTATATTATGTTAAATGCCAGTTTCAACAACATTATTAGACCGTAACAATTTCACGGTAACTGAATAACTTAAAGCTAAACCTTAATAAACAGATTACTTAGTCTAAATTATGCATGTGTTTCTTAATTGTGTAATTTAACAAAGAAATTCATGATTTTTACAAAGTACACACAACCTTTTATAGTTTTTGAAATATTCAAACCGGCATTCAAAATCTAAAAAGAAACATTTATTGAACAAGGACCCGACGATAGATTACATACTATACAGAGACTTAATTTAACATTACATTTTTCAACACGCAAAGCTGACGAGTACAATTTAATCATAATTAAATGTTTATACCAAGTAAAGTTTCTGTAGCTTATGCAATCATTGTCTTGGCGCATGAGCGAAGTTATTGGTTGAAAAGGTCAATGAAACGAGATCCCTTTCAAGATTTTAGTCATACAAATTTAACTGCGACACTTTCTATTTTGTCCCCAGTTCGGTTCTCTGGGTCTCGGTGCGATGCATTATTTAATATATTATTTTTTATTTGTTAATGCATATACATCATAGGACAAACTCCTTATTTAAATTCGTTTTTAACATTTAATGCCACACAAGAAAAAAATCAACTAATCTCAATAATCGTATTTTCTGTCGCAGCTTTTTGTATGCCATACAATATGTCCCAATAACTAAGCTCAAGCAAATATTATAGTATCGGTGTTACCAGACCTCTGCAGCTTGTGGTCGCTTGATAGTAGTGACGGTAGTACGGGAGGTCCGGCCGCGCGAACGTGCGCCGGCGCCAAGCGACGCAGTGCGAGTTAGCGACGCACTATTATCCGCACTTGAGTAGCCCGAGCTTATGTCCTCTGTTGACTTTATGTGACTGTAATGTAAGAGAAGATTATTAAGTAAATCTATTTATTTGAATTTAAAAATTAATCTCTTAATGTGTTGGTTAGCGCAAATGTCGAGGACGGCTGGCCTATTTCGTTGATTATTTTTTGTATTGTTTATAATTCGCTAGAGGTTTTTATGAAAAAAAAATTAAAACAAAAAATCATTCGTAAATTGTATTCGTCGTAAGTTTCAGTTAGCGAGGTAACCGTATTAGTAAGCGATGTAAATAGGTAATATATGGGCGAAATGCTAGTTTAATATTAAACTTATTCTCAAATTTCAATTTATCAATTTTTATGTGTTACAATAAAGACAAACTGGAATGGCATTGTACAGCAGAACTTGCCACTAAAACTATACCAAACACAACCGCTTTTCCAAGACACTGGCTAATAAAAACTATATCTTGCAAGATATACCTACTGTTTGAAGTTTAAACGTTAGTATCTCTCTCAGGACTGTACTAATTATAAATTAAATATTAAACTCACCTGAAATCTGGTTCGTCAGCTCTAGCTCGCGGTCTCACATCAACATCGACTTCAGGGAAATACATAGGAGAACGACTGTTCGACTCTGAAGCGCTGCGACGGGTGATGAAACCACTGCAAAGAGATACAAAACTCCCTATAAACACGGCCATAACACTTTTTATTCACACACATACATAATATACACATTAAATACAGTCCTCCATTAGAATATTCCATTCAAATTCTGCCTTTCGCTTCATCTACATCGATCAACTTTCCAAGCATGCTCAAGCCAACCCGAGCGAATGGCGCGTAGCGATCCGCGCGCGCCTCAAAGAGCCAATAGACCACCACAGACGGGGTAAGCACAATGAGTCACCGCGGCCGCGGCCCAGAGCAGGAGAAGGAACAGGGGGTTTTTAGACAGTAAAAGTCTGACACTCCCTCCCGCCCGACCCTGGGTGGGAGAGAAGTCATTTGATGATTTTCCCCTCACAAAAAAAGCATGCTCGTCAATAGTGTCTACTAATAATAACTGTTTATTTCTACTTTAAAAAAATGGACATAAAATGAAATAGTAAAAAAACATTTCTAACCTTTTTCCCCCTCGTCGTAGAAGCCTAGGCTCGGTGAGCACGTCATCGGCTTCATCAGTCCCTCTCTCCTCGCGCGGATCGCACTCCGTCAGGTCCGACAGGCTGTAACTGTTGCGTATTTGCTGTACTAGCCCGCCTCCACCCTGAGAATTCATTTGAATATATTTATAATATAAATAAACATATAACCAATTATTATAGATAGTAAGGAAAATAGTGTGGTCACTCTTGAAGAGCCTGCATTAAAATTTTAGGAAATATTTATTGGGCAATAAACATTTATATTTGGTTTTTTAAATGAGAAGTTCCAGTGTCTCTTGCTAGCATTGATTTCAAGCTCTAATGCAAGGATTGCTGATGAAAAAAAAATATTACAAAAATATACTTACGTGAAATCAGCAATAGCTTCCTTTACACAAAGCTTTGTGAGGCAAAGCGCATGCTACCATATTTTTTTATTAAAGCGATGATATTATACGTTTTAAACAATAATAAACGATGGCGAGTACACTATAATATTTATTTATTGAGAAATCATCGATTATAAAACTAAATCAGTCACACAACTAAATCTAATTGACACAATACACAACATTGGTGGTTTCACAACACATGCGGTCTTTACAAATACGTTTTTCATAGGTGTAACATTCACGAAGGCAAGTTAACAAAGTTGACTTGCAAAGTCGGATAATGTAGACTAGCTATTGCGTTATGAAATACATCTGCAGTCTATTTCAACAATAAAGTTATCCCACAATTGCAGATTATTTTAAAAACTTCCCGTAACTCGCCAACGCCATGTATGTTACATCTATGCAAATATAAACTATTCAATTATTAATTACAGACGTCATGCGATGTAAAAATAACTAAATATGTTGACTTGTCTATGAGTTTGTGCTGGAAAGTTTAGGAACAGATAATTTAAAGCAAAACAATAATAACTTAAATCATAAAAAAACAGCGAGTCGCGTTGCATTGTTTAATGAAATTATATAATTCCTGTTAAAATTGTACGAATGCATACATGTTTAAAATAAAAAAATGTTTGACAATTTGAAAAGGTAGAGAGAGAACAGATTCCTAGAATAAATAAGTAAATACAAAATGGCGTATAGACAGTGGCACGAATAAGATGCTTTGGTTTGTGTCGCGTTAGATATTATATTATTGATAAACAAAGTAAGAAAGTTCCTAAAAATATATGGACGTTATTTTTCTCAGAAATTGATGAGAGAGGCGTTTGTCCAGCATAGCCTCGTAGTAAAAACAAATAGAAAAAAAATGTAGTAACTAGAAATTTACCAAGATCTCGAAACCTTTTGGTAGTAAAGCTCATATACCTACTCCTTTTTTATTTAACAATTAGGGATATGATACTTTGATAGGGCATTGGCGCGGGCGGTGCTACTAAAATTCGTCATCGAGATTAACATGAGTCAATTATAACCTAAATATAGTTAGTTACCGACTGTGTCGGATGTAATAGCGATAAAATATCTCACCGATTCACAAAACTAATCTGAAGCTATAAATTTACACCCATTTTCTAGTCCGTCGTAGAGGAAAATTCTAAACTATTTTTACAACTCGTCAAAAATGTGTGCTTTGGTAGTAGTCGATCAATATTGGTCGTACAATAAACAACAGACTCATGCTGACAAATAGAGGTAATTTTAAAACACAGTAATGCCCAATACCGCAGCCACGGCGACATTTCGTAACTATTCGAACTAAAAAAATATTGTGATACAATTGATACTTTAAAAACAACGGGTCACCAAAAACGTTGTCTAAAATTATCTAAACATCACAGTTGAGCTTCGTTCGCACTCGTTATTCATTCGACCATAATTTCATTGTTTTCTTTGTCTACGGCCGTTTGAGACCTGGTGCGGCGACCTCGGGACTTGCTCCGAGGTCGTTTCTCTTTAGCAACTTTACGTTTACGAACGACGTTGCCCCGACTCCGCGCCGACGTTTCTTCAGGTTCGTAGTCTGGATCATGATCGTCCCCAGCGCCAGTCCGATAGTCCTGTGGCTCATCGTCTCGATCTAGCTCAACTATTTCCACAATGCCAGGTAGATCTGAGCGCTGGTACTCCAAGTCATCATAGGTATCCTGGTAGCCGCCGTCAGGGACGTCACGTCCTCTGATCGCTTGTCTAGCGCGCGCCTCTCTATCTTGCTCGGGACTCGGCAGATTCAAGTTCTGCGTGAAGCAGCAATGGAAAGGATATTTGGAAAAGATGGGGGTGGAAGGGGAGAAATTAAAAAAGCGTGTTAATAAAATTAAAAAAGACGAAATTAAACAAAGCGGCTTTGTGGTTTGGGCTAATTGATGTGAGAGTTGAGATATTACGTGGTCATGATGTGGTCATGCCAGATGACTGGTGTCTACTGGACAGCTAGCTTGCTAGGTGCGACAAGGCTAATTTGGAAAACACAAAAAAACAAAGCTGTGTGCAAATCGGCACCGTGGGTGTAATTTAATGTTTTGCTAGCTTATTTACATAATACACACTGTAATCAAACATGCCACACTGTAGCTTTTGTAAAGCTATTTTTTCTGTGACAAATTTTAAATGGTATGAAAACAACACAAAGTTAAACAGCAAATTAACACTTGTAATTGTGTATTTTTGTTAAAGGTTAGAGCCCACCGACACCTTATTTGGCTCATTTAAAAACTGTCGGAATTATTAACGTCTTCATTAATCGACAGATCTTGTAATAAGAGCGCGTTGTTACAAAACTAAGCATGCCACAATGGTTATTGCAAGGTTTTCGAAACTTACTTTTATGGCAGTCTGCATGATAACCGTGGTCGCATAGTTGACTCCTTTAGTGCCCAAATTGAGCACTGTGTGGTAACCCTGATCTTTGGCCTTCGCTATGTACTCATCTATTTCCTGGAAAAATTAATTTATCATTTAAAGTAAAATTACAATACATACTTATTAAACAATGTCATGGGTAAGTTCTGAACAAGCCTAACTCCGTAATCGACATACCTATCTATATTTTAACGCTATTAGGTTCAACTAAGAAATGGCTTATAGATAAACCAACATTTTCGAACAGTCAAGGCTTTATTGCCCATTTTACGCGCCTACGAAATTAATTTCAATGCATCTCAGTTATTTGCTACAGTTACGAGTTTCCGCATATCCATATTTCGCTTGGCTAAATTTGGCTTGTAAAAATACTATATTTATGGACATTGGTTTGAAAAGAATTGATTATGGAAATTTTGTACGACCCAAGACGACCATTAAGCAACATTTTATACACATATAATATTTTGTAAAAGTAGTAACTATTCGGATGCGTTTAGTTGATTTGTTTCAGAGTAGGTACTTATAAATTTTATTGTGTTTACAAAAAGTCTTCTGAAGTCATAAAGAAATTAAATCAATATTTGTAAATAAACAATACCATCTGTTTACTATCAACTTCGAACGATCGTAGTGTAGTGATAACCTTTACGAATACGTACTACCTATGTATCGATTACGGAAAAACCCGGGCCCTGAAGGTAGGTACTTTACTACTGGTATTAGACCAAATTACCTGTTAAAATGTAATTTGGTCCAATGTGTCGAACACGACAAGCTAATTTAGTTATCATATTTAATTGAAAATATTTTCTAATGAGCTTAATGGGTGTATCCTGTTCCGGTACCTACTGAGAAATTAGGACTAAAATAGTATTATTGTTACTTACTTGTTCCCGCCTGCAGAGTGCCGGGTGCACAAACTTCCTGTACAGTATGGAGGAGCCCTTGGTGGCGGGAGACAACAGCCACAGTACCAGGACTATCTTCACCTCGTAATAGAAGGGAAACCATGACAGGAACACGTCCGTGAACGTCTCCGTGCAAGTGAATAAAGCAAACACTATCCAATACATCATCCATTTTACCTGAAATTGACAAAAACATTGAATTGTTTGAGTGTTGATAAATTCTTCGCTAGGAATTCCAAACTTCGTGGGGATATTCTAGTATAATTATAGCTCCGCTCTTCGCATCCTCCGGAAACAGACAATCCTAACTATAGAAATATTCACTACATTTTTCATTCATACTAGCTAACACATTAAAGAAGTTAAAAGTTTAAAGGAAAGGTGAAAATTATAGCTTTGCCTATGTAAAGTGTATTAGCGAACCCTAGTCAATTAAATCGGTTTCCATGGTGACGGAAAGCAAACTGCCTGTCGTATTTCAATGGTGGAAAATAAGTGAAGTGTTTTCATAGAACATATAAAAGTTTAAAAGAACAATACTATTACAGTATAAGGAAAACGAAGTATAAATAGTTTGTACAGTGTAGCATTAATAATGTGATACGTATAGTGTTTAGAAAATTCATAATATAATTTCTTTAATTAAAATGTACCGATCCTGACATCAGCATCCAAATATTCATTGTAGATCATAGCACTCTATTATTCTGGGTACTGTTTATAAAACAATAACTGCGAACTGGGTTGAGCTACCGGCACGGTGGCAACTAGTAATTAGTCATAGGAAGCCGGGAACAAGGTAAAGGACAGAGTGGGAACCGAAGCGTTTCAAACACGAGCGAACGCCCATAACAAGGCCGACAGACAAAGTACGACAGTCGTACTTTACTGAACCATTTACAGCAAATTACACATTTTTTTCATTTCAACGCCAAATTGACGCTCGACGAATGGTAATTCGTCGTTTGACAATTACTTGCCTTTTGAAGCTTATAGACACTAATGTTACTCAATTGTATCCTAATGGTTTTAGCGTCACAGAAAATGGAGCACAGAGAATGGGCTATTATTTAAGAAAATAAAAGTATAACTGTACTTACGTATTCCTTTAAGTTCTTAGTCCGGACAGCTTTGTATGATGCATAAGCCGGGTAGAGGGTCCCGAAAACCAATCTGCAAAACGGATACACCACCAGATAAGTGATCATCTTCGGTGCGAAGAATCCTGTCGTTATAGCGAACAGGCCAAAGTTCCCAAACGAGACACTAGGAATGCATTTGCTCAAAGCCAATCCTAGGTTCGTTACGAAGCGATTCCAGACTTGTCCTCTCGGTTGACCGAGAAGAGAGTCATCGTAATCGTCGTAGCCCTCGTCGATGTTCGGGTCGTATTTGACAAGTTCTTGGCAGGATTCGAAAGTGTCGGCCGCTGTAACACGTGCGTATTCCGCTTCGAGTTTGTTGACAATGAATCGGACGCTGGACAGTCCGAGGCTCAGTGGCGGCAGGCGAGAACTGTCGTCACGGTTACCGGTCGCGCGACCTACCGCCATGGATACGGTATCCACGTCATTTGTTTTCTAGCAACACAAACTTATCAATTCACTGTTAAATGTTTATCTGTTGTTACATGTGTCTGTCCGGGTGCACTACACATTAATATTTAAGACAACGCTCTAGATGAATCGCAAACAGAGACTGATTGAATAAAGATCTGTGTCGGCGTGATTGGCGAGTTCTTAGCTACCTTGTAAATCAATATCAACGTGCTTGGTGCACAGTAAGGTCGTGTATACCGGTGCTTAGATTGAAAGTAATAGTCACCGAAAGATATAGAAATAAGCACGACCTTCGAGTAGAAAAAAGGTTTTCTTACTAATTAACTACACGGTGTCCGAAACACCTAACTGATCAATTATATTGTTGAATTTGAGAGTTCAACTTTACGCGGTAATTATAATAAGTGCCTATCTCGTCGTAATTGGTAAACGGTAGAAACCGTACAAAGCGCGTGGGCGATTTGCAAGGTTTAGATGTGCCACGGTCAGAAGCAAAATGTTAAACAAATAAGGACGACCATGATGCAACAAATTAATAATTGAATAAAAATTTTCTTTTCTGTCTGCAATTCGCTATTTAGTTGTTCAAACATTGTTGAATTTTACATCGTACAGTATACACTACTTGCTCACTAACCAGTTATGCGCAAGAGTGCGTGAAATTTTAACGAGTTAGTGCTTACTGAAAGTAGGATAGTATTAGAAGTATTAATTTCAGTCAATGCGCGAGACACAAGCGTCATGATATGGTAGGCATAATGTAATATGAGAGCATTCAGGCTACAACAAACGCCCAACGGAAGCGAGCAATGCAAGCGTGGACGATCCAAATGAAAAATAAATGGAAGATGGCTAGGAATCCGTGCCAGTTTAAAATGAGCCACCCTGCTAGTCTTACAGCTTGAACCGATAGCATATCAAGAATCCCATTACACTGGACGACTTTAAAAATAAACACAATTGCACTCGACTGCTATGTCGTGTATAGTTACGTAGATGATTGGTCTACCTGCGGATATATTATGTCCAAGTTTAGTCAGGAACACAATTAGTTTAGTATTTTATATTTGAACAAATAATAAATTTGTTATAATACTCTGTGTACAATATAAGTTGGCCTATTTGAGATTATTGCATTGTTTTATAAACTATTGGTATAGGGCTATTAAGATAAAAAAACTGGCCAAACTTTGTATTGCCTACGTTCATTAGTTGTCTATTGAGAATGAGATAAGATAATGTTCCCTTATCAGTAATAGACAAAACAGTTTCAGTTTAATAAACCTGAATGTGACTTTGACTGACTGACTAGTAAAATATTTTAAAGTTTTTTGCGCTAGAGAAAGACAAGTATGCAATGTTGGTACAACAATGAACGTCCATTTAAGTAATCGTGTGATGTCATTCTTCAAAAAATTCACTCGATGGAAGCTAAAGCTATGTTACCATTGAAGGAAGAATCACATTCATAAATCACACGTGATTTATTTTTAATGTATTCATAAATAATTGTAGAAAATTTTGTGTACGGCATATTATACCATAAATGTCAATTGTCTGAATAAGAGTCATTATTTTTAATAATGACGCCTCTTTTGTGTTGAAGCAAGCAACAATTTATTCAAGTTTCCATTCACAGCCTGAATGCATTTGTATTATTTCAAAATCGGAAATGTACAAGGAATGTATCTGTTTCGTATCAGGCGAAGTGGAACACTAAATGTGGATAAAACTAGATCATCATGCGTGCGAAACGAACACGCACGCACATGGTTCAGTTTCACAACTCCCTAATAAAGTCCTAAAATAAAATAGGCGAGAAACTCGACCCATTTGGTCTAAATCTGTATCTGTTGCCAAAGCATGTGTATTGTGCGGCGATGCCCTTCCGAAGAGAATTGCAAAAGCCAACACGATGTGTTTTAAAGCTTTATAGTTCATATTCGGTTTTACGAACCTCACACAGAAAGATGTAGGCGTAAAAATATGTGCTTGGATATCTGGAGTACCCAATCGAACCAAATTGGGTTTCAATGACCTAATCCAAGTTTTAGGAAGCTGGCTAATAAAGTCAGTTGAAAAAGGTTCAACTTTTCAAGATGAACTTGGTTTTGGAGTACGTATAATGTGCACGGGAGACCCAGTGACCTTTACAAATTATTCGTTCAGAAAGTTTTATTGCCCAACATTCAATCAGTTTCGCTTGGTCAAGCGAGCATCGCCTATCCCAAAAAGACTAACCAGACGTAATAAGATTCGTTTTGCAAAAATCGATTTACAAAATAATTCTTATTATTTTGTTTCGGTAGCATTACTAGAAATTATAACACAAATGCAACAAACGAATGATGCGTTACGTTCGATCCACTGTAAAAATAGATTTAACCGATTTGTTTCTTGAATGTGGAAATGCCCCTTTTTTCATTCTGGTATGTAATAACGTGTGAATAATCTATTCTTTAATATTATAAATGCGAAAGTAACTGTCTGTCTGTCTGTCTGCCATTTCTTCACGCCTAAACTACTGAACTGTTTTCTCTGAAATTTGTACAGGCATATTTTGGAACTCGAGAAAGGACATAGGATAGTTTTTATACCAAAAATCTGCAGGAAGTCAACTATTCCACGCAAACCGCGCAAACAGGATCGCGGGCAAAAGCTAGTCTCTTCTTTTCATTTATTTAAAAAAGTTCAAGCTAGATTAGTATGACTTACTTTTTTCATAATATTGATTCTTAAGATTTTTAGACCGTGTTATATATAAACAAATATTATTGGATGCATAAATAAACACAACGCATATAGGTCAAGAACCTCTAATACGGAGTGGTGCATCCGAACATCTCACGCAATGTAAGAAACCTTTGTTCAGTTTTAACTTCAGGGTTGGCAGAGGACATACAATACAATACATGTGCTACAGCATACGTAAAGCGTAAAAACACAATGTTATTAATCCAATCAACACTACACGTCAACGTTTAACAACCCTACGTTGAGTTTGCAAGGCTAATTCGTATCTACTTGTAACTTATGTTATGCATTGTGCTGTGCATCGCAGAACAAATTATACCCTTGTGGGCTTTACACAAAAGGTTATCTATTCTTATAAATGAATTATGAATCATTAAACTGTATGCCGAACTTCTTTGTCATGGATATTTTAGTCATCGAGTAGGCTTATCTATTTATAATTTGATTTTAGAATGAAGAAAACACCCGATTTAAAAAGTCTTTAAAAAGAATTAATTCGAAGCAGGTATTTTGATTGCGGCCTATGGTTTATTTTTTCAAAACCGGTTTCTAGCTTCCCATATTCAAATCACGTTTTATTGGAATGTATCCTGTTATATCGATAATGAAACGGCATGATCCTTTCTATCGATCGTGAACGGCTATTGGTGGACTAAATAAGGAGTGTGCGCACGCGCATCGTATCGTGCACCTCAGTATGTTCTTCAGGGTCGATGTAACACTCAGTTGAGCGTGGCCGGAGTGGGTTACGATTAGGCGTATTGGATAACGGGTATTGCTTTTTCATTCATTCATTGGAAACAATTTAGAACATATTGCATTCTTATTTTTTACATTAACATTATTGTAGTGATTAAAAGCAGAATAGCTTCATAGCATTAATTAATATAATTCTTCTTTGCATACAGATGAACATGCTATTCGCAAAGAGACCTGGTTGAACTGGATTTTATTTTTAGATTTTTCCCTATTACCATTATACATATATTGTATTGTATTTAACACAATAACCTAAGTTTTTGAATACGTAATATTTATACAAGCAGACGGATCGATTCGTTCTTTACGTTCTTTGTACGTTATCAGGAGATCTTCCAGTATAAATACTTACTTTCAGTCGTTGCATCTCATCAAATTATATCCATACCTATCCATACAGTTTTGCGTAAACAGCCCTAGTAATATGAAACTTCCTGTATATTGTAAGAATCGGTCAAGCGTGCCATTGGTTCATTACAATTTTAAATTAGACAGCTAAGTAAGTACTTCGGCTTTTGTTGAAAACACTCCTTTGGCAGTGATTATTATAACCACAAATTCTATAGAATCCGAATGAATGACTTTTAATATTCAAATTTTTTGTACAATACAGCCTAAAATGGCCAACGGTTCGTAGTTGGTCAGTGACATTCGATGTCGATTTCCAAAATGGTAAAGACATTGTCTATTGAGATCAGATGTTTTTAAGAAAGTAAAGTAACCAAGATCCAACCAAGACTGTGACTTAGTAAATTAAGATTGTTACTACTAAGTAAAATCTATTAGTATTAAAACTGTTACTTAAGCAATACCAAATAAATAACGTGTATCATTTTGCGTTTTACATTAACCATTCTAGTTTGTAATTTATAACTAACTAAGTGACTTGGTAAACAGGTTGGGTTGGTACATAGATATTTTTATTTCATAAATATTTACTCTATAATGTTTAATTGAAATGATGTGTACGAGATGCTAGACGACCGACCGGCAAAAGCAAGTCGAGTAAATTATGCCACAGTTATTTTGGTACGGTAACCCATTTACTATCTGTATGCTTCATTCATTCAGCATTATATATTACATTACAGATGTTATTAAGACGATTTCAAACTTATTGCGTTAAGGTAAGGCTTCAAACCAGTTGTAAAATAGAAACGGGAACATTATCCTGTTTCTGAAGGATTTCGTGCTCTCGTAACTTGCCGTGTTGCATTACTAACATGTCGCAAGGCATTCAAAAATAAACACAGAGTACAACTCATTATTGTATTTACAGGAACTTACATTAAAGTTAATTCTTACATACCGTTAGTTAAATATAAACCACAACTACATGATTCTCGTAATAAATAGTTATTCTTATGTCAAGTTTCGTACGCGAAGACATTTAAATATTAATACAACAAAAAAAAATGTGTCACCAGCAAAACTGGGTAAAGGTACACGTAATTCAGCCGAGGCTGTTCCTAAAAAGGTAAGACAAGTGTTCTTAATAAGCACATAACGCGGCGCAGTCAAGGTATACGACCTCCTGACAGCGCAAACAGTCAACAGATTGAGCGCACTCGGAACAGACACTATAACTCAAGACCAAATGTCGATAAATGAATCACTCTACAGTTAGGTGTCAACGCACTTCACTTGTTGCATAGAACAGCGACGCGGACGCAAGCCGTGAGCGCCACAGACTAAATCTTCTCTTCACTGCACCAGAGGCGAACGCCCGAGCTTAGCCGAAAATAGCACCCGGCAGTGCACAGGGATACCCTAGTGACGAATTCCGCAACGAAGCTTAACTTTTCTTTGTTAGATGCGTCACCACATATTCAGTTACAAATGTACTTCCCTTGCACCCAAATGAGTAAATAATCTCAAAATATTTGTTGAACTAATGAAATTGGAACTTGATCCAGGCAGCACATCTATTCTTTAAGCAAGCTAGTTTACGTCTGAAGGTGAAAAGAATGATAAAAGGCGAACACAAGTCTTAAAGTGTTGCCAAATTTTGGGATAGCAGGCGCTCCAAAAATCAAGACTATTGGAAGATTGCCAGTGTTGAACTATACTCTACACTACACTACTCTGACAACTAATAAGAATGCTCATACAATTGCTAACTGTTATTGTGTTCGAATTGTATAACAACTTGTCCCACAGCCACACCATGTGCATTGTCATGCATATATGATCACATTAAGTATTTCTCAAATAAATACGCAAGGATGGGAGACTACATAACTATCTATATGTAGGTATACATATTGTTATTAGTTTAAAAAAAAACAGCAAAAAACAGGCTATAGTCTCAGATCAATGCTTATAGCTTCTCTACAAACTGTTTTGTACTCCTAAGAAGCCAGCATAGTAAGTAATATGAATACTAACATATTGATCTGAAATAAATACTGAAGAGTGAGTTGTAGTTATAACAGTCCATTTGATAATCAAAAAGTAGCTCTATAATTTATGTAATTTAATTTTAATCTGAAATAACATGAACAGAATAAAATTGACCATTAACTAATATAAGACTTATTATAAGAAGACTAACTGGTTTACATAGGTGCTTAAAAAAAGAAAGAGGAAGTTAATAGTTGGTAATATATATCAAATATATTACCAACTATTAATATATACCTCAAATAATAGCAGTTGATGAACAAGTATTAATATGGTACTATAATGTAAATATCTAATGTCACATTTATTTTGTGTACACTAACTGTATCAACATAAAATATTATAATTTGTACTAAGAATCAGTACTTTCTACTATTTATACACACAGGACAAGTAAAGTAGTTGAGAATTAAGGATTGATATATTTTTAAGTATGTTTATCCAATAAGGCTTTTTTAGAATAGAGACATGCCGAGAATATTTTGTTTTCATAAATGAACTTCTTGACAACAGTTGATCATTAAGTTTTTAATTATATAAACATTATTTATGATTAAAAAAGAAAACAGTTTGTACTATAAATTATCAAATACATACTTATATACTTATTTATACACAAACATTAGATTTTTTATAAATAATATTCTAGTTCTACTTACTTATCTATTTTAAAATGTCAGAATCATACCAGGAAGTTTGATAAATATAAGAACAATTGTTTCTAATTTCTAAATATTACTTATTATTGTAAGGACTGATTACAAATAAATACTTTTTGTGTTCATATTATATTACATAAAAATAAAAGGGTAACTTTAATAAAATACTTTTTAAATGAAATTCACTAATTTAGTAATTGTTGGCATAGTATTTTGCTTTATGACAGAATCTGAATGATTTGACCTATGGGAATAGGTCAGAAGGTCAACAAAGAGGCAAGGGCGAAACAAGTGAGGTAATATTAAAAGTTTATTTCTTGTTGCATACTGTTTTAAATTATCTGTTTGATATAAAAAAAATGTGTCACGAATGATCGAATTAGGATTTCTAGGATATTTTAAGTAATAAAAGCTCCGTAAATATAAGACATTCACGAATTTTATGAATAGCCCAGACAATTTAACCGATTGCATTGTATTTTAAAGTATGTTATACCTCTTCTAGTAATTACATCGAGGAGGAATAAAGAAATAATTGAACAAGCAATATGCTTGATGACGATTCAATTTCAAACGTTCAACGTGAACATTTTGTTATTTGATATGTCGTAATACTTTGGGTTTACAAACTTAACTTTCGTTCACGTAATATAACAACCAATAGACGCAGGAAATTATTAATTAATATTTTTTTTTCTTTTTGCAAACAAAGGAGTAAGCAGTCGAAATAATTTTTCGACGTAATATGTCAACCATGGGAAGTAAAAATGTATACTTACATGACCAGTCGAGAAATTATCGACGATATCATATTAATAATCACTCATGAAAATTCACTCTCAAATTATCACAATACAAAACATAGCAAAACACAACCGCCCGATGAAAAGTCTAATGCGCCATGATGATATTGAATTGACAGTTGTTTTGATCACGTGACCGCCCAAATCAATATGGCTTCAAAGTGTGGTTGAAACAAAATTAAATTCATAAAATTAATTAATTTCATAAAAGTTTTGCTGTTAAAATTTGTCATTGAACATAGCTATACTTTTCATAAATATTATCTTTAAAATTAAAATTATGGAAATAAAACAAGAAGGTTTAACGCCATCTATGTTTAAAAGGAAGAAATAGTAGCGCTATTAATCTCTGTAATAATTTCTATGTATTTTATTAGTTAGTATAAATGCAATTACACTTACTTCCATTACAAGTAAGTGTAATACTTTCGTTCTGAATAATTTTGAACTAATCGACCAGCGAATTTATACGCATACGCATATATTATTATAACGTACCTCTTAGGATTTTAACAAAGTAGCTTTCTCAAACTCGTAACAAAATAGTAATTATTATTTATATTTTACACGAAATGTTTTGTAGCAATATGTATGTATGGTAAATAAATATGTATTAAAAAATATGATGGCGAAAAACTGACCTCTATTGATATTCTTGAGAACTAAAACGTAAACGTTATGTCCTTGTTACACGAGAATATAACGCAAACAAATTCAGACACCCTCAATTTAGACAATCGTTCTCTACAAAGTTTGGACCATTTCTCCTAGTCGACTTATAACAAGTTTCAATAGAATACTACCGATTGCAGATGACTTTACAACAGAACATTTCTCATTGACAGTGAAGTATACTGTATTAAGTCGGATGAAATGTACGTTCCGCAGAAACGTTTCTTGTGTTTTCCACGTAGTTTCCCTTCGCTCGACGAAGAGTGTGACGTGTGGTGCGTATAACGCTGAGTTTCTTGACGTTTGTGTAGTTTTTAATGTGAATAATGTGATTGTGTAGTTCGTTATGGCTTATAAGTACCGTGAAGATTTAGTTGGCAAACGATTTCTCGCTGTGAGTGGTGTGACAAAAATTAACGTGAATAAAGTTTCCGAATGGGGATGGAAAGCTGGTATTATCAGAGCAGCATCGCTCAAAGATAACAAGAATAAGGAGCTTCAGGTAAAAATGAATAAATAATGGTATATTTAATTGAAATAACTAGGAGTTTAATTCATATCTTTTGATAATTTTGCCGTTTAATTAAAAAACTAATTACGCGGTTCGAACTGACCGGCAAGTTGCGCGGTTTTTTCTTGCTGAGCTACGGCTAACTTATTGAGAATAAAACTTCATTGGCTACTTTCCATAATCTCATTGCTTTTCATAGCCAACTTCAGAAGATGTTATCAATGTCGTAAAATGCGAATCAATGCCAAGAAAATTTATTAGTATTTTACTTGTCGTGATTGCTGTTTGTTTCTATAATTTCTACTTGACCTTCATAGTTGACGAATGCATACTGGTGTACAAAATACGCAAAAAATATAAAGTAGGTAGCTGTCTATTACATTTATGCTTAGCTATGTACATTTCGTCCTACAAGCGCGGTGAGGGAACGAGGAGGGGGGGGGGGACCACGAAAGGGCTCCCGAGCAACGGGCAGTTGGGAAGGGCCTGGGACTTGTAAACCCTGGAATATTGCGGCCCTTATTTTGTATTATATGTATCTACTTTTCTGCACAGCTATATTTAATATGTACATTTAGTTAAAACGTTCATTACATGGATATGACTAAAAAAGGTCTTTCATGCATCTTTAAAAGCTACTTAAGACTTTTTTATTGTCTTAAATATGGACAGGAAAGCTTACTTGCTACATTCATTACTACCTAGGTGTATACGTCACATTTAAGATGAAATATTTATTCGTAGTGAGACGGATACGACATTTGCGTGTCCATTATAGCTATTAGATACTGTTGATACCTACTACATAACTGGGTACTAAGAATGCATTAGGAAACCAAATTTTAATCTAAATGCTTGGCAGGTAGGGTCCTAAGTTCCTTACCTACCCACTCATTTGGGCAGTGAAGAAGTGACAAACAATGATTAGCTATGTTGGTGAGGATTGTCTACACTTCTACACCCATAATTATCATTAAGAGGATATAGTTGATTTGTAAATTGTAATTTACATACCTAAGTATGTTTATAATAAAAAACTCAAAATATCTTTGAGTATCAGAAATCACTCTCTACTCTGATTAAAAAGATATTTTTTGTGCCATACGTAATAATACACATTACCTATATGCATAGAATGCTTTTCTACCGCCGTTTAATAATTGCAAATACGATATAATAAACTATTGTGAAATAGCTCAATCACAGACAGAAGCAAACTGTTTTCTGTGTAATAGCTCACTTAATTATTACTTTACTGACCTTTAGCATAAAGCATAGTAAACAGACAGATAGAAACAGTACGTTAAAGTCAATTTAACTAACTACCACTGCACTTTTATCTAAATTGATGACATTCTTACTGCAGGTTGCAGTTTACAATTTCAATTATAAATTGCAAAGTAAAAGAGTAGTAGGTATCATTAAGTATTAATACCTTGCCTTAACTGGTATATATACCTGATTGCTAATTTTTAAATATAGGTACGATCTTTTCCAAATAATTTTGAGAAAAACGTAGGTAGATTCTTAGGTAATACGTTACATTCTGTGCACGAAAACATAATTTGAGACATGAGTGCTCTTTATAAGATAAAAGAAAATGTACAATAAGGTATTCGTATTCTTCGTCATATCTTCGTCACACCCTCGTAAAGTCACAATGAAGGAGCAGATTTAATTTATATGTAGAAGAATATTACGTCAACGTACCTCTGCTTTAGGCAAAGATATGACATTTTCTTCGTTATTTTTATAGTCTTCTTGTGTACCAGGATATGGAGTCAACTTAATCAACTTAATGCTTAAATAAAGAGAAATGTAGCTACATAAACACAATGCATAATTACATTTGCACAACAATTTTGCTTTTACACGAAATACGAGAAACTGATGAACAATCATTATTCACAATTTAATTAGATCGAAATTGCAATTAGGTATAAAACTGTACAAATCTAAATGCACATGGCGCGAGGTTCATCGACCCCGCTCTCACCGCGTTCGATGCACCGTCCGTACGCACCGCTGGCTGTGTCGACTCGGCCCAATCAGTTTTTGGAAGAAGTAAAAAAAGTTATTAGACATGGTAAAGTTTCCTGGCCTCAAATTTAACTTGAACGAAAGAATTCCGAATTTGGATGTTAATGACACCAATTGACTTGTCCCTTACTCCAATCTTTATTGTGTGTTAGTAAGTTGGAAGCAATATAAGAAGAAATTTTCGTATTCGATTTTTAAACACCTACCTTTTTTTATAGTGTATGAAAGGGCTTAATACTGACTTTCTTCCGTCATTATGCTCTCCTTCGAACATCTTTCGAAATCGCGTTCTTTGATGTTAACGCAATAAGGCCAACAAAGCCAGTAGGATATTTCGTCTATTTTTAGATTACTCAGCAAAGATAACGCAAGCAGGCTTGGGAACGTTAGTATACATATAAGTTAACTTCAATATGAAATTATATCATATTATACTCTTCGATTTCGTATGAAACCATTAAGTAGAATACTTTACAAGTAAATCGTAATTTACGTCATCCTTATATTAAAATTTTATAAACTAAAGTATTTGCTTAACCATGATATTTTGCTGGTGTTACAAAAATAAAAAACAACTGCCGATGTTGCATTATCATAAAAAATAACGACTTGTATAATAAAAATACTGAGAGAATTAAACAAAGCACACAATAATATAATGTTGTTAAAATTAATAATTCCTTTGTTAATAGTGAATAAAAAATATTTAATTATATCGGATCGTAAGTACTGGTAGTAGTATAATATCTCGCATTATGTCTCACGAGTAATAATTCTTTATTACGATACAAAAAGCTTTTAATTGGTCTCGAATTCCGATTGACAGTTTACCTGACAATCCTTTAGGAGTTCCTCTGAACAAAATTTGTTGGAAAACCATTCAATATTAAAGTTATAAACAAATTTATTTAAAATGTGGATTATAATATACTGATATATATTAATGTACATAGTATACATGAAGTAAGCATTAACTCCATATACGTTCGCTTTTAACTTTAGTAATACTCGTATACATAATATGTATAATTTATATAGACCACCACTTCCTCAAACTCAGTATCTAAGAATCTTTTATATGATGATCATTTGTATGTTGTTTTTAATATTCTCTAAAATTTTATTTAGTACCATATTTTATTCGGCTACGAAGCCTGTGTGATGTAGCCCCTCTAATTATAAAACACCTATAAATATCTCGCTCGTTGCGTGTGTTGCGTAATCAGTTATTGAAATTGGCAACTTCACACATAATGAGAGCTCGTTATTAACTACACTCATGATCACATTATTAAAGTTTGTCCTTGCAATACTTTAGTTAAGCAATTTGATTCCTCTTATCAATGTAACGGACAATGACTTGTCTTGACGAGTGATAATGCAGTGAGTGCGATGACTGGCGTTTTTGTGTAGATTGTGAGTTTGTAATATAACTTCAGGTATATCACAAAACATTCAAAATCAAGATACACGACAAAAGCCAAGTTGTTCTGTGATGCGTCCGCACGCCTGCATTACTCGTCTGTTATAAATAGACGACATATCTTTATACCACTGCATCGCTATTCGCTTGCTCTCCCGCCGAGTGAGAGACGCCAGACCAACTTCACACAACTATACGCCACATGAAAGATAATTTGTTTAGATTACCTACGCGTTTTGAACACTGGTTGCGAGCACAGGTGTCTTTTACTTTCTACTAAGAAAACTAAACATGAAAACAGTAGTTTCAATCGTGGTAGCTACTGTTCCTGTAACTAGCCATTACGTTTTCTTAGATTCATATATGTATACAGTTCAGAAGACGTAAGCTATCTTCCACTTTTCATCTGGCGTGTCGTGTCGTGTCTAATGTCAAACAATGCGAACGGAATCATCAAATTGTAGCTATATAACAGTGTAGGTGCATATTTTGTTTAGTTTCATCCATAATCGGATCCAGACTTTTAGGCCCACGCTAAATGCGTAGTACTTAAAACACGAAAAAGTCAATATTTTACAAGCTTGTAGAGCAAACTGGTGTCCTAAATACGCTCGGACTAAACAACCCTTTGATGTGCGAGATTAAAAGAATATATTTAAAGGTTTTTATTTAAAGGGCGTTAATGGAGTAATTCGTGTATTCGTTCTAGGGATTAAAAGTCTATTTTATAAAGAATAACACATTAAACGAGGACCCGGAGTCGACAAGTCAAAACTTGAATTTTGGTCATATATAATTCTGAAGCCTTTTTCTGTTGATGAGTAATAATCGTTAGTGTTGGTAGGTTCCTTTCATGGACAAACAAACCTGTTTAAATATACTTGCTTTAAACCCGATCAAACGAGTTTAAATATATACACGATACTTACATTCTTATAGGCCACACCGGTTTCGATAATATTGTGTACTTTACATTGTTTTTCTTTTGTTAATTTTACATGCGCATTACACTTCATACACTGGCCAGATATTGTAAAGTATTCACTCTAAAACTACGTAAAACTAAATAACATTTAAAAGAACATAATTTTTGTGTTACAAATTAATTTGAGAATTATCAAAGTGATGTCAAATCAATTGAGCCGAACCAGATGTCAATATTAATAGGTCATTTGTTCTTAATTGAACTGTGGCCAGAGAGAGACCGGTTTGTTAATCAATTCTATTTTATTCCTAGTAAACGATTACGTCATCGTCACCTAGGCAACTACTTTTGTAGGATGATTGTGTAATACCTGCCTTACAGTTGTCTGTGCTGAGACTTCGTTGTAAACTCAATGTAATATAACATGCTCATTATAGTTCTTGCTTATTTGGAACGTTACTTATAAATTATAATCACCTCGAAATTAGTCATGTCTGCATTATAATACAGGGCAGTATGAATCATACATATAGCTATGTAAAATATAGTTACGAAACCCTAAGAACTGTAACCTGTAAGTTGTTCCCGTGAACTCCCATCTCT